GGTCTGAATTGAAGCGGTCTTGGAACCATTTTGCCCAATTTTCCGAAACAAAAACTCATTGGCCACCGACCCCCCCCCCCCCCCGTTGAGTCTTGCAAAAAAAATTTCAGAAAAAAGGCATACCTAAATTTGAAGCATAAACAACAAACTATGTACAATCTTTGAAGAAGAATTCTTTAAGGGCTGGGCATACTCACGCAATTTCACGAACATGATAAGTCTTCAATTCCTTAGAAAAACGTAAACAAATCAATAAATCGATAGAAGGACCCAACGAATCGCCGCAAAAAGTAGCCTATCATCTGCGCAAGGGTCGAACACATATGTGTGCAAAGTTTCAGCTGAATCGGTTGAGTGGCGCGCGTTTCTATAACGCACATACCCTCCAAACTGACAATTTTTGAGTTTTATATATATATATAGATTATGTATTACTTACGTGGATTAATAAACTGCCTTATCTTCCGCACATTCAGAAACCTCTTACAGTGAGTTACGGAAGTTGGAGTATTGCCAAACCGCGTCGCAAGTGATTCGCGTGAAGTATGCCCGACCCTAAAGCCTCAAGCAGAGTTTACGCGATTTGATCGTCGCGCTTCAATCGCGACAAGGATAACTGTTACGAGTTGCATGCCGACCAGCTTGCATTTCGATTGTGATACTTTTCCAGCCCGAAATTTTTGGATGAAAAATGAAAATGAATGGAAATCGCAGCGATTGAATCGCGACGATCAAACCGCGTGAACTCTGTCCCAGGCCTAAGACTATATACTTCGAAAACCGGATACATGCCTAACTCCCCCTCCTCTATCTCCCTCGCTGGAATCTTTCATTGTTCATATCTTTCGCACAAAAATCTACATCACCATTGAAGGACGTCCCCCATTAGTTGTCTGCAAACAAAAAGTTGTGCAAGAGCGCGTCGTCGTTGCAACTCTGACGATAAGATTTTCAAAGTGTGCAAACTTTATTTAAAGTTTTCTCTTCATCTTTATGAAAAAAATTATTTGGAATTCAACTTGAAAAGGCAGTGTCATCTGGACATCTGGAATGCTCGCGAAATTTTGACCCGTACCGTATCCACAACTGTGTCAGTGCGGTACTTGAGTACGGTAGTGGGCGTGAGTATAAAGTTGGTTTTCTCAACCACGGATAAGTGCTATGGGCTGCAGCCTGTTTAATGGCTCAACTACGGCCTTACAATCATATTCTGCATAAAAGGCCAAGTAATTAGATTCAGCTTTACAGTACCCTTAATAGCATAAAAGCTTTACGAGGGTAAATTCTGCATCTCAAATGACCATTTTCATCTAATTACAGCAAATAAACAGCTTTATCGTGTTCTATTGGTTTTATCACTCCCTGCCTTCATATTTTGCTTGTTGTAGGGTCATTTTTAATGCGGACAAAAAGCGTAATGGATGAATTACGAGCAGCATGTGGTATCGCGCCAAGCACCAATAATCAAATCTATCACTCATGATTGGAGTGATTTGTCAAAGAGGCACGGCCACATTGCTTACAGAAATACCTGGCGTTGGAAAAGGACCAGAGGAAGGCCGGGGGGGGGGGGGGGAGGAGGGGGTTGAGAATTGCATAGTTGAGTAACAAAAAACTAAGATGTTGACTCAAATTCCTTAAACGGGGGGAAGAAAATGTACGAAAGCAACACTTATCATTGATACAAAGAAAAACGTATTATTTTCCCCTTGTTTTTTTTGTCTTTTTTTCAAATTTCTGCAATTTTTACCCCCTTCTTTTAGACGGATTTTCTTTCTGGACCTCTTCGGGACTCCTCAGTACGGAAATATGGTCTGGATTAATTTGGATGAAAGATTTTTCAAGAAATCTTAAAAATTCATTTTGTATATTGTTAGTTTTCTTTAGATGAAAAAAGAATGAACTAGTTCTAACAGTTTGTTCTTATCGTGTTATCATTTTAGAATTTCATTTGTCACTGCAAACGCTTAGCCCCCCCCCCTCCTCCTACCCAACATGCAAAAAATAAAATTGTTATGGAATCCGTAAGTGTAAATTTTACCCCAATTCTGGCTGTAGCGATGACCTTGCACTTTGGGATTTCTTGAGTGTACGCCTGATCAAAAAAGTCTCGCTTCTTAACTCTCCTCCCCTCCACTCCCCCCCCCCCCCCTCCGCTTCTACTCCTCTACGTCCTTCCGCTCTTGGTCTCAGTTTTTCAGCCTATTTTTGTATTTTTTCCCCAAAAGCCTCACTTGACATCGGTTATAAACATTAAGGAAAAGCATAGATGCTAGCATTATATGGTCCCGGTAATGTAGAAATTATTTCCGAACTACTGGAAACAAAAATCTAGAAATATTTAAATATCAAGGAGAAAAAGAAACATCTCTATGAAATTTAAGAACTTTAAATTCGATTTGATAAGACAGTATGCAAAATTTGAAATTTATTCTCTGGTATCTATCAGCTCTGAACGAATTTTATGCATTGACAAGGGTTTAGAGTGAAAAGCGTGAAGGGATGCGCGACAGCCAATGATAGAGGAGTACGCTATTGAACCCCTATTGGCTGCTGCGCTTCTCGAAACGCTTCTGATATTGTATGAAAGACAAGAAGATTGAGCCTGAAGCGTTTTCCTTCGCCATCATTGTACAGCAGTTTCGATCACTAAATTTTATAGAGACCAAAAATTTCCATCACCTAAACAGAATCCAGCGTTTTTTGTTTTCCTGGAGTTGCTGAAAAAAATGAAGCACTCGAAATTTTGGTTAAAATGAGGGATAAATAATCTAAATAACCATATCTTACCAAAATAGTACGTCCTTCTATAGCGATAAGTCATGTTCAAGAAAAATGTGTAAAAAATTGTGTAAAAAATATGAAAAAAGAAAAATGTAAAAAAAGAAAAAAAAATGTGTAATGTACTAGAATGAGAAAACTTTGGAATTTTTCGGTTGAGGAAACCTTTGAAAATTTTGTAAGCTCCCGATATGTTACTGCTGCCACTTGGGAGCAGAAGCAAAAGAAAACTTGTTTTATTTTTGTTAGAATTGATGAGTATTTATTTTTACATGACTTTGACAAATTCAAAAGAATTGAAATGCGACTCAAAATCAGTTGATCCCATATCTTCTCTTCTCTCCTTATTGTTATTTCCAATTTTCAATATTTTTAGTGATTCTAAGTTTCTAAGTTTCCAAGCTTTACTCTTTCGAAATAAACTTTGAAAGTATATATATGAAAATAATGATAAGTGATTGTATAGGTCTGAAAATTGAAACTGTAAAAGATTCTCAGGTTCTTCTCTCTTTTGAGCCGATATTTTCCCAAATTTGAGTTATCAAAATCCTATAAAAGTACAAAGACCACTATGATTATGTTCTGCAAGATATCCCGATGAGCTCTCATCGTGGCTGTCAATTTATCAAATCGAAATTTCACCACGCTGTAATATAGCTGAAGGTGCGAGATATACGAGGGCACACCGTCTGTTCCATCATCATTGGTATGTGCTCGAGCAATCGAACTTATGACAGCAATCTATCTACCAAGAATAGGGACTGGCTAGTAGACTGGAAGTACACATAAACATCGAAAATGGGGTGAACCCTGAAAAGTTTATCCTCCCCCCCCCGCCTCCTCCCCACCTCTCGCCCGCGAAAAGAAACCTGTGGTAAGAACCAATAGTAAAATTGAGGCTTGATAACATTTTCTCGTGAGACTAGGAAAAATTGCGAAACCTTGTGACCCCCCCCCCCTCCACCTTCTCTCCGGTGCGAGCAAAAACTTGTGTTTGAGATTCAACGCAAATTAATTTGAAAGTCTGAAAATGAAAATTTTTGAAAAATCAGCTTAATTAAATGATGCTCAAATTCAAAAACCCACCCCTTTCGCATTCCCATGCAAATTGATTTTTTTGTTGCATTCAAGACTTGCATAGATTGTTCATAGGCGCTGCTTCTCATAATTTTTGCGGTTTTCCAGCCCCTAAAACCTAAAAAAAGGTTGATTTAAATTTTCAAAAAATTTTGAAAATTATTTTAGTTATTTATAAATATAAACAAGTCATTTGTACATTTTTAGACACATTCCATAGTTACAACTGTAACTGTGTCTATTGCTCACAGTAATTCAAGCAAATGTTGCTTAATCTAGCCAACATCTCCAAATGAGTTTCTGTCAGGGCACTAAAAATATTACAAAAACCATTTTTTCTACATTTCTAAATATTAGCTGAGACAGTTATCTGTCTTTCAATCAAGAAATTTCTGCGCTGTACTACAAAATGTAAATTCATCAAGAGTTTATAAAAGTTAATTTACTGAAGAGATTACAATTTTCGTTTCAAGCAAGAATAACGGCGCTCTTCCAAAAAATAATACCTTTTGCCAAGAAGGGTAGACGGAGTTTTTTTAGATTGTTATGACGTCATCTAAATAGTTTTGAAAGACTCAGAATAAGTAAAAATATTACACAAAGATCATATCCACCAGTCAGCTCCATTATTGCAACAGAATTTATCAGAAGGTTTTTTTTTGGTAAAATCGGTCTATCCACATTGGCGCAGTTCCCGCCAAATCGCGTCGCGACCGCACGCGTTGAATCGCAGAAGAGGAAGTTTTGATAAGCGCATATATCCCCTTGAATCATCCTTTAGCATATATCTCCTTGAGCTACCCTCTTCGCTTGTAAATGAAGGGGGATTCGCGTCTAAACGAAGGTTGGAGGGTAGGGGAACGAAAGCCGCCAGTTTGGGCCGCGTCCGCGGACTACTGGTCCTGGAACGACATGCAACAACACTGCAATAGGATCAGTTGGCCGCAAAAGCGGTTCAAACTGGCGGCCTTTGTTCCCTAAACCAAGGGTGGACTGTGCAAACTTTGGGCGGGAAAGATGAGCGAGAGAGCAACTATAAACGCAACCGGATATTTTCCTTCGATACTTGAACACAAAAGCTCTTATGAGACATATTAAGATATCACTTGCTTGTTTCCAAATTTATAAATTGTATTTTTTAGAAAGCTGAACAAAAAGAGAAAGAAAAACGGCAACGTGAACGACTACGAAGTCTTGAACTTCAACGTGATAAACTACATAAAGCAGCATGGTAAGTTTTCTTTTTCCAATTCGGTCTCTTTAACATCTCAAAGAGCAGCAAAAGCTTTTAGAAATAAATCAAGTCGCTTTTCTAGACCAGATGAGAACATGACAGTTGTTGTGTAAGCTGTCATCGACGAATCGCTTAACATTTATCAGAACATTTGGCGCAAAACATAGCTGAGCTCTAGCTTTTGTAAGAAAAAATTCTTGCATGACTGAGCATCAATTTGATGGAAAGAGAAATTATCATAAAAACAAAAAAGTTCGTAAAATTTCTTAGAATAATACAACTATATTGGATTTTTGAGGTAAGAAAAAGTTTTAGATGAAAAAAAAAACAAACAGTTTACACCTGTAATTTAAATAATTGGCTTTTGGTTCATTATAAAAGTCATTTATAAAGTTTCAATATTTATCATTTTTTCTAATAACGCAAACTCTGGCAGCTAGATTCGTATCAACTTTGCATTTCCTACCTATTAGGATGTGAATGGCGAAAAACCTACTATAAACATGGTCTCAGCCCTCGAAACCAATCGTTCATAAAAAACGGCCCTTTCGCTCCGCTACAGTATACCATGTTACTATGATTCCGGCTTCTGTGGTAAAACGTAACTGTTACGGTGTTAACTTACAGAGTTTCAGAGGTTTAAAATGCGAAGGTGGCGCTTGATTTGATTTGCGTTTGATTACGGTAGCATACTGTATTTACGTGCAAAAAGGTCTATACCTATTAACTCTTCAGCATTTTCGGTATTACTTCAGATAGCGTCTTAAAATGCTAGAAAAAATCCTCATCTTTTGCAACTTTTTTAGTTTCCCATTCATGAAGTATCAATAACCAAACCTTAAAATCAGCGTAAATTTCAGATTCAACTCACATTTCATGCTTTTTTACACTTCTTGTATAGCTTGCAATGTAATTGCTCGAGCGAATTCGCTCTAATTCAACATCCGTACATTGACCTTTGAAGTATGGAACTAAACAATTTGTAAGAAGATTTTCTTTTCAAAAAGTCTGCATTCATTTGTACTGAAGAAAATTTTTTTCTGAACATGCTGTCATGCGAAAATTCTACTCAGAAAACTTTTTCTGACATTTTCGCTGGAATTTTTACACTTTTACGCTATTTTTTCTCGCACAAATTATTTTCCATACAATCGCCCATTTTCCTCAACCTCAAGATATGTATATTTATAAAATCTCTTCATTTCTGTGAGTTAGGTATAGCAGACAATTCAATTAGGAAATCTGCAGCGCCCCATTGAGAGTAGCCATTGAGAAACGAAGTGAATTTACGGATCTTAGCAAATTTTACATTGTGAAGCCACTTTTAGCGCTGAGATTTTTCTCTATGAAATATTTGCAAAGAGTTATTTTGAGATTTGCTACGCAACGAGCGACAATGGCCTCTGGGGATAAAAGACTTTGCAGCCAACATCACTAACATTGATAAAGTGAGCGCTTGACCGCTTTTCATGCGTGCTTCCATGGTGGCCGATGAGCGGGGACAAAAGGGGGGGGGGGGAGGGAGATGGTGCAACAAAACCGAAATTTTTCATTTCCATATCTGGAGGATTGGAACTATAACTTAGTGAGGTAATTGGTCACTTAAATTATCAAATCCATTTCTCAAATAAATATTAGGTCATTCCGAAAGTAATTTCGCTTTTTTCAAACGGGCGCCACATCTGATGTAACAAAGGTTCTAGGCGTTCTTGGTAGCATCCGATGCAGCATTTCATTCTCTTTCTAAAGTTTATGAAATTGCTGCAAAACAGTCAATGAGCTTTCAGAAAATAACCAAAATCTGCGACCCATGCTTTTTGAGATGGTCAAGTTTCACGATTTTTTAAACCTTTCATATCAATAATCAAAAAGAGTTCAAGCGACGGTTCGATAGAGCAAACCTCATAGAATACAGTGCAACTTTTTTCTCTTTTCCATAGCTTGTCATACATTTTTAACAGAATTTTAACTGATGCTAGCGATTTCCATACTTGGACAGCTAAATCCTAGTAGAACATCAAACCTTGAGCAGCTCGGGTGTCATTCGATGCAGCTTTTCCTCCTCTTTCTAATGGGTGTTTTTTGTTTCCGATTCGTTTAGTTTCCGGGGATAAAATCATCATAACTCATTTTTTTAGGGAGCCCCAGGCTGTACCCGAAAAACTCGAAATTTGATATTTCGAACCCGTAAACCCTCACTTACTTTGTAAAATCAATGCTAACTCATAGTGCCATCTTGGTAGTCTCAAATTCCGAAAAATTACAATGTTTGATGCCATTGTGGTTGAAGGGGGCCTGCCAAAATTCGATGGCTCTGCTAAAAAATCTTTTAAAAAATTACGGCGAGATACGAGAAAGAGAAAAAAGTAGCACTGTATTCTATAAGCTTCGCTCTATCGAATTTTCACTTGAACTCTTTCTGATTATTGATATGAAAGGTTTAAAAAATCGTGAAACTTGACCATCTCAAAAAGCATGGGTCGCAGATTTTGGTTATTTTCTGAAAGTTTATTGACTGTTTTGCAGCAATTTCATAAGCGTTAGAAAGAGAATGAAATGCTGCATCGGATGCTACCAAGAACGCCTAGAAACCTTTGTTACATCAGATGTGGCGCCCGTTTGAAAAAAGCGAAATTACTTTCGGAATGACCTAATATAAGCGGGCGGAAGGGGCTAGGGCAAGATGTTGGATGTTTCCGTAATAGAGTAAAGTGACTAAATAAAAATGCACTCGAAAAATGTTGACAGGTTCATTGATTTTTTGCCCAGAATTCTTTTTTCTGCCATTGGTTTCCATTATTTCCACAGACAAAAATAAAGCCAATCAATATTTTGTTGTTGAAATAATCAGGATTAGCACAAACTGCCGAAATGCGCAACTCAAACTTTTTTCAACTTATGAAAAGCTACTATATTACCAACGACTTAAATAGGCAAGGCGATTTTCAGGAGTGACAAGGATACCCTTAGCTTGGCTATCTTACAAGGCAAGGACTGCTTAGTCGAAGCGGCCCTTTGAGATGGGACATTACATCGTTTTGAGTGCCTCAAACATTAATTCCAAATCTATCTTCCTCATCCGCTGAGCATTCTTGCACGAGGAGTTATTAGCTTTATTAGAACAAAAGATTGAGTGTGCAAGTAGCACAAAAATATTCGTATTTTTCTTAACGAGTAAATAAGCAATGATAAATTTTAGAGCACTTTATGCAATGAGTACTTTCGGATTAAATATCTTCGCACTCAGCTGCCTCATTCGAGAAAGTAAAGAGCAAGAAATATTAGCAATTCACACGCATTCCATTTCTTAATTCAATAAACGCTCATAACTCCTCCCATACACGTTCTGCAGATAAGATAACCTTTGATTCAACTGGCTTGGAGTCTGGAAGGCAAAGCTTTGTGACCTAATTAAGACCGCTCGCGCCCGCGACGCAGTCTGCGTCTCTCCCGCGTGCGTGCTCTCTGGTCGTTATCTCGCTTTAATTAGATTACTAAGCCCTTCCTTCCAGCCGCCAATTCGGTTAAATCAAATAATAATTAGCGTTGGGTACACACCAAGATGATATATCCCATCTCAAACGGTACTTCGACTGACCATTGTTCCCTTGTTAGCTTTGCTTCCAATTTTATTTACTTCTTCTTGCTTCTTTTCTGAAAAAAGTTATTCCTCGTATTGATGTATACTAGTTTTGTTGTAGAGTAAAGTAGAGTTGCATAAATGCACATGAAATAAAGAGATACAGAGGCGAGGATGGAGGCCTTCAAACCTTCCATGGACATGTGCCGTACACATACTGCTTCATGCTCGAAGACTCCACTGTTAGCCTTTTTTTTACAATGACGGATACTTCTACTCTCTGTCTAATTGGAGTTGGCGGCTGGAAAGGAAGTTCCGGTCGATCAGATAGCACGTAAGCGAGGAAGACGCAGAGCCTGCTCCCCCACGCTTACGTGCGCAGAGCCTGCTCCCCCACGCTCGCTATTCGATTGAAGCCTCGCCCTCCAGCCGCCAACTCTAGTGAAACAGAGTAACAGGGTAACAAGCCAGTGCTTTGATCCTCCCAGATTGCCCTAGCACCAGTTTACTATTTGGAGGGTAAATGGACTTGATTGACTATTGACACGAAGTTGCAAGGGGAGGGGGGTTGAATTTCGACATCGGGTTATAGCGGCGCCGCATACCACAAAGTCAGTCGTCCAGGTGCTATAAATTACTAACAAGGTAAACTTTTTTAGTCGAAGTGGCCTTTCCGCATGACAGCTGTATCGCTTTGTAAAGCAATGAACGGTGAATCAAAATCTGTCTTTCTTTTCCGCGGAATAGATCTCTGTTATGGTTTTCGGAATTTCAAACTTGTCAAACCTTATATGGCACAAAATTAGCGAAAAGCTATACGAAACACCTATGGGTTTGCAAAGGATGTATTTTCTTTTGTAGTCAAGCTACTTGGTACAAATTAAATTACCTACTTCCAATTGCCGTACAGCTCTACGCTATGTAATTTTGTGCCACCTATAACATAACAATTGGACGCATAATTTTTTTTGTATGGATGTTCCGCGGAAAAAAGAAAGCAAATTTGGAATCAGCGTACAAAGTCCCGCTAGCGATATAAATGTCATGTGCAAAGGCCACTTTGACTAGAAGGCTTCCCTTGTGAGTAAAGATGTGGCCATGATCAAAAATAAACGCTAAGATTAGAATCTACATTGAGGTAAGAGTCAAACCTTCCTTGAGGTAAACACCTACCTCGTGGTAACTTCTCAACGCGTATTTCAACTTCAAGGTTCGTTGATGATTATGGCTGTGGTAGTACTTTGTTGGAAATCACCATAACTAAGACTTCTTGACGCTAGTTAACCAGCTTCACATTATTTTTTCAACGAACCCACAAGGCAACCAATTGGAAACAACTGAGATAAAATTTTCTCTTGTCCTAAAATTAGGCAGTGTCAGTGAAGGCGGCGTTCATTGCACTCACGATCACAGTTCGTTCTTTAGGCTATAACCTTATCCAACAATAAGCTTTAAACAACTGGGTCTTCTCATTGTAATTTTCAGAATGATTTCCTTTACTCCTCTGAACGTGTGAAGCCATAACATCATTACTTTGAATGAAAATGCTGACAAGGTACTTCTTTATTTTAAACGATGCTGTCGTGGTTTCAAGTCTGTTTCTCAATCTGGTGAAGTGCTATTGTCATTATTCTATCTAATAACGAAACCGGCAACCTGTTATTCACTTTGTGATTTGGTTTGGATTAAAACAGTCATGAAATGATTATGGTAACCTGCTGTTCATTTGTTTATTGGGAAATTCTGTAGAACCTAGTGTGCTCGTATTTTGATTGAAGGCTTACTCCGTATTGACAAAGTAGATTGCAAAAGGGACCATCAAAAATTATTCGATTACCACAATGTACCCTTTGATTCATCGGGAGTGGCGGCTGGGATGGAGTTCACGTCCGCGAGTCCTGCATCTCTTTCGAAATGGTGCTCTCTAGTGACTGAAGCTCTGCTTTTTCCGTGCTCATCTTAGGAAAACGATCAGAGAGGAAAGAGTTGCAGAGCTCGAGCAGCCCATTCACAAGCCGCCACCCTCGATGAAACAAAGGATCACCATGATTAAGCCATCGAAGGGTATGATGTTTCGACCAATTTATAGTTCATATATAAAATCGTGACGACGGAATTTACTGCGAGCTTTATGCCTAAGCGTGCATAAAACGCCCATACAAAAAGGCATCAACTCAACATCCAGCCCAAACTTCCATTATAAATATTATTATGAGTAAGCAAAAAACCATTCGGCTGGAGATGAAAACCAAGAAAGTGCGAATTCCGGAAGAAGTGGCGTGCGTGTCGCGCGCGGTAGCGCCGTCCTCACGATTTTAAAAATGCTCAATACTACCATTTTGGGCAATCTTTTGGAAATAGTAGCAGAAAATTAAATAGTTCTATATACGTTAAACAAATGTCGCACTGCTATGCGAACGCTTTTCGAATCATGAGGCCAGGAGGAACGCTATCGGCGACAGTTACGGTAACCATTGAACATTAGAGGCACCGTCAACTCTAACTTGGGGGTCTTGAACTTCTGGCAGCTTACCGTAGAAATCTCTATCAAGCAAATGTTTAAGTCGCTATGAATGTCGCGAAAATCGCAGTGAAATAACGAAGCATGAGGACCTCAACTCGGCACCGCCCCTGCAGTAATGCACGTCCATCCGTGGGCGGCGCCCATCCAAAAACCGTTCCGATTATCGGCCTGCGGGCTATTCGGGACGTTGATTGTCGAGGGTTTTACGCGGATTCTCACTTTCTATTCGGAATCAGGGACATGGGAAGGTCCTGGGACGACCAAAGCATGGAAGTCAAGAATCTGGGTGGACGGTACCTTTAAGTTGACCAATGCGAGCATAACTTCAAGGTGCACCTTCTTCGTTTTTCTTCGTGTGAGCAGCTCAGCCGGTTTGCTGTGCCTCACAAAACGTCGCTAAGTAAGACAATTATCTTATTTGATGCGCAGCATTGTGGAGGGTCTTGAATCGTTGAAAATTCTAGCGTGTTTGGGCTGGTCGATTTCATGGAAAAATAACCTGCACCTTGTACCAGTAAAATCAAAGTACTTGAAGTTTTTTGCATTTACTGTGCTAAATGTCATAAAGAATTCCTCATTCTCTAAATCTGATAATGCATTATTCAGGGTTGAATCGGACGTCAATGTCAAAATTATTCTATTCTGTCTACTTTTATAAGTCTAAAGAAATTCAAGTACGACAATCTTTGTGAGATCAAAAGCCATATAGAGCTCAACTTGGCGGATCGTTATCAGAGGAAATTTAAATAAGAAATTTGATTTGTATCTTGTTCCAGGAAACATTGAATTTTATTGATCTGCGGTTCTGCCGTTCAGTAAATCCAAAGTAATAGTTGAGTCGCTTAAAAGCCAGTCCTATAGTATGAGGCGCTCTAGAAAGGAAAGAGCTTACTAAAGTCTTAAATTTTTATAAAACGATAATGTACATATAATGAATGTTAGATGTAAAAATCTCGAGTTTACTACTCAACTTATATCCTTTAGTGAAGAAGCCGCTGCACAGTATAACATGGAGATCTCAGCTCAACCACCGATCAAACCACCTGCAACGAAACATCGACATAGTCTCCATACATCTTCAGTACAACATCTACAAATCAACACTACTGCATTCGATAAAGCCAGTCGGTCAAACGGACAGCTTTCTAAAAACGTAAGAGGTTCAAAATTTTGAAGTGCCATGTTTTTTTAGCTTCAAAAGAACTACTTTCATACTTTTCGTCTGAGCACAAGGAACAAAGGTTGTAACATCTCAGTTATGTCTTTGCGAATTTGCTTTGAAATCTTAAATCTGAGTTAATTTGTGCGCATGGAGCATGGGTGAATGCTGCTTCCATAAACTTCAATAATGCGAGTTTCGAAAAGTAGAAATTCATACTTAATTTGCGTTAGTGCACACAACAAGAGCAAAAACAAAAATTTTCCGAAAAGACTATGTCTAAAAAATCTTCAAAATATGATGATGTCGTACTTTCATGTGCACCATGCCTTATAAAAGTTCTCGACAAGTTTTCTACAGGGCTTAACAACTGCAGTGTCGGTTGTACCAGCTGTCCGCTCCCGCGCGGCCGCCTCGCCTTTACCCTGCTCCTCTTTCGCGAACACATGCTCTCTGGTCACTTTCCCACCACAAGCGTGAGATTGCAAATGATTAGAGAGCGTGTTCGGGAAGAGTTGTAGAAACCTGCGCAGGAGCCGAGATGCTGGTGCACCCGACACTGCAGTTTATAAGCCTTATACATGTCAAATGATAAAGAATGTTGGTGCCAATATAACCTTTGATTCAATTGGATTGGCGGCTTGAAGGCGGGGCCTTGTGACCTAACTGAAGCCGCTCGCGCCCGCGACGCAGTCTGCGTCCCTCTCGCGCGCGTGCTCTTTGACCATTCCCTAGCCTTAAGTAGGTCACGAAGCCCTGCCTTCCAGCCGCCAATCCAGTTGGATCAAAGGGTACGATCAACATGAGAAGATTACTTTCTAATATAGATAAAGAAGGAAAACGAAATAAAGGATTGAAAGCCAGATTGATTTCTGAAAAAGCCGATTGCTTTGCGAGCTTCCTTATATTGTCTTGAGATTGAATCTGAGAAATTCCAGGAAAGTTAAGGGTTCTTTTTATCACCATACCGAAGTGACAGAGCGAACCCTTATTCTTGCGCCCAGAACTTAAGCTCTGATCTATTTGTTCTTTTCGTGATCTTTACTTAAAAAATTTAACATTGTTTCAATTAAAGATATCGCATTCAAAAGGCTATTCTTATTCAATTTTTAACGTTCAACTTCCAGGCAAATGGACCACAACGCTCGACATCATCAGACTATTGCCGAGAAGAGCGCAAAGAGCCGCTTTCAAACAGTAATAAGTTTATGAAATGGCTTGGATTAGGTGGTAGTGAAAAGAAAGATTTGAAAAATCGCCGAATGAGCACTTTTACTTGAAAGTGATTTGTATCGATTATTTGCAAATGTTTTTGTTGCTGCTTAATTATTTTCATTTATTTTTTCTTACAGAAATTGTTGCAAACAATGTTGTTTTACATAATTTCCATTGTGCATCTGTACTTTGCTGTTGATTCAATTAGATTATCAATTAATTACTCTTTAACGCAACGCTTGATTCAAAACTGACCCATTGCTCTACAATCTCATTGTAGCTCATCTTTTGTTCTGAAAATGACACTTACCAGCACTAGGCAAGTGCCAGTCGTTAATCTTCGTAATAATTTTTGATTTCGGATATTCAGCAGTGTAAAAATTTGCAATCTTTATTGCACATTTTTTGTATAAATAGATTCTTCTGTAGAATCAGCGTTGAAAATAATTCAAAAATATTTTACTACAGACAGATCCTAGTACATACAGAGGATATAAAATAGTAGTCTTGCTTGTCTTGTCCTTTTTTTAAGATTCTGAAAGAGAGAACAATATCAAATTCTCATAATGCCAAGAGTATGAGCATGTGTTGTAGTGTTGATGATAATAACGCTTTCTTCGAACGCTAATCACTCTAGTATCAGTAGATAGAGTAAAAAAGTGAGATAATCAATTTTTTGTTCTACTCAGTTAATGAAGAAGGAGGAAGGAGGAGGAAGTGGACGCAAATTGAACAAGAATCGAGCTTCACAATCAGTTTTATATTCTGCTTTCCGAAAGTACGTGGATCAAGAAAAGAAGTTTCAAAAACGGAAGGAAATGATTATTGTTACGGTCGTGTACACTGGAAGCGGTTTTTCAGCTTCTGTTGTATGTCTCGTGATTCGCCTCCAAACTTTGAACTCGAAATTGTTCCTTATCTGCGGAACAGTTTTTTGAAAGGAGTTATGAGCAGTTCCTCCTCTAGCTTAACGTGTTTGCAGAGTACGAGTAATATTAGCAGGTGAGAAATGTAGCTAGAGGTCATAGTGTACTAAACTACTACCTGAGAATGCCAGCTTGACCTAGGTCGCTTTGCGACTTTAAGACTCGCACTGGTCAGTTTGCAACGTCAGCAAAACTCACGTAGCGGTATTGGGTTTGCGAACATTTTTCAGTGCCATAAACGCTAAGTAAACCCACCATAAATGAATCTTCCTTCTAACAATTTTCATGTTTCATGTTTGAACACTGGCATTGTTGTATCGTCGCCTCCCCGGTGTACGTTGGGCGGAGCATTTGCAGGCATTTGAACGTGTTGTTGACTTGTCAAACCTCTACTGCAAAGTATGGTTTTTTGTACTCTCTAAATTGCCACGTATAATTTTTGCTGCTGTCATACGTGGCAAAGTCGGTAGCGAGAGATCACCAAGAACAATGCCTTGTCGTAGAGAGTTAACAAGTTCACCAACGTGTTCAAATGTCTGCAAATGCTCCGCCCAACGTACGCCGGAGAGGCGACGGTAACTTTTCAATTCTGTTGTGCCATACAAGGTTCGTTATGGTGGCAGCTTTATTCGATCGGGTTTACGTTTCAACGTCTTCGTCGTCCTCAGAGGCCTGGAAAATTCAAAGCATGATCGCAACACCATGCCACCAAATGCTCCATCAAATGTTGCTAGTTGCGGCGTCGTTCCAGATGTACTCCACGAACCACCGCTATATGTGCTATGCTCAGATTCACGCGCGAACGCGCTCAGATTCCACGGAATGGTTAGATGTCATTTTTGAACATACAGCTCAATTTATCCAATGCATTTCAAGACCGAAATGGTACCGCAAGGAGAGCAGCAAGAACATCCTCATAAATGCAAGACCAGCACATTCTATGTATGTGAAAAGAGCAGTAATCGGAAATATGTCTAGAACGGCTGCAAAGGTGCTCCGGCGAGGATGAACGCCACGAATTTCGAAACTTAGCCGTTGAAGATCGCATGCAACAACGGTTATTCATTGCACCAAGCACGAAATTCTCAGTGCAGTGATCATACTAGTTGCAGCAGCATTGGAGACAGACTTCCATTGTGTCTTCCGTTTTTCTCGGACAAAATTAGTGCATAAATCGAGCGCAACTAGAGAATGATGTAAACTTGATAAGCGTTCTAAACGACAATCTTAAGAAGCAGCTCGAAAAACAGGATTTACGAACGAGAGTGCATATCAGATTACTGTAGTATGCATGGAAAAGGGATAGGTGAGACTGGAGAGGTCCTAAGCGTTCGCATAAAAGAGCATGTGGCGAGTAAAAGACAGCAAGCCTAGTATCACCGTTTGGTAGGTACAGAAATGAAGTACCACCGAAACATTTTCAAATCAGATGTACGACCTCTACTTGCGAGAATCGAACCTCTGCTAGAAAGGCTCTCAAAGCCTTCTGAATCTTTGCCAAGGACCCAGAAATGAACATTAAAAATGAGTGCCCGTCGATAACAGCAGACTTCCCATCCTTCGTATCCTTATGCGAGCTATTCTGTTTAGATAAAATATGGGTCTTTGGCACTAATACTCTAGTATAGCTCACTCGTCTGCCACGTCAGTCACTTCCGACGGACATCACATATAGCTGTGGTGCAAGGGTAGATTCATCTCCTTGTCGGCATATTTGTGGAGTACATTTGGAACGACGCCGCAACTAGCAAGACTTGATGGAGCATTTGGTGGCATGATGTCGCAGATCATGTTCTGAATTTTCCAGGCCTCTGAGGACGACGAACCCGTTGAAACATAAGGCTTATCGAATAAGGCTACACTATAACAAACCTTGTATGGCACAAGAGAACTGAAAAGTTGAACCTTCCTTGTTATGCGACTCCCCATGCTAAGTAATGTAAATCTTTCAAATATTATTGTCGTGAAAAGCAAACTCGACACAGCTACAGGTCAAGCGGCTTATTATAAGTCACGAAGGTCCTCAGAGGTCGGCACACATGGCAAATTTATCCCCTAGCGCTCGTCTCAACAAGACAGCTGTTACGAGCTATAACATGCCAACCATATTGCGTTTCGACTGTACTAGTTTCTCGATGCGATTACTCTCACAAGGGAACGATACTTGGAAGTGCACTTTCTATATGGTATGTATACTGTCTTATAGAGCATTAAACACTGATTCCAAATCTGCTTTCGGTACCTACAAAGCACTTTTGAGATGGAAGTTATGAGAGGTTTTTGGAGCAAAATTCTATGGTCTTGGTTAAGTAAAAACGGACGTTAAGGTCTTTCCTGTGCTTGAATAGAGTAAAGACTAGCTCAAGTTTATTAAACTGAAGGTATTAATTGCAGAAAGTGCCCTACTGGTGATCATGATTCCCACTAAGCTCACAGACACAGCTCTAAATGATTTTATTGTACCTGCGTCTCATTTTCTGCAAAAAATTTCTATGACTCCCTTCCCAAAAGTGTTTTGCAGACACCAAAAGCAGATTCGGAATTAGCTTTCCATGCTCTATAAGATAGTGTACATTTTCTATGGAAACGCCACTTCGACCAAGTATCCTTCGCTTGGTAGCACTTTCTGATTAAAGGCAGCTTTCAGGCAAATCTGCACCTATGGGAATTTTACGTGGAAAGTAATTTTGGACACCAACTAACTGCCCAACCGGCAGTTCAGGTAGTACTCTAACGGCTAAGATATTTTTATCGAAACTATACCTCATACTTCAGGACCTTATTTCGCATGGATTCATGGCGCAGCCCATCAGTTTCGCACGAGGACCCGCGCTTGCGCCATGAATCCATGCGCAATACGATCATGAGGCCCAGTTTAGAGGCGTATGTCTCAGCCTTTAGTGAGCCACCTGCGCTGCCGCTTGGGCAGTGGCTTGGTCAGGGCCCGAAAGTTACTATTCACGTGAAATCCCCATATGTCCAGATTTGCCTGAATGCTGCCTTTAAGTCCCGCAAGAGTCTTGCGCGACTGAAAACTACGGAACTAAAAAGGAGTCTTGCGCGAGAACTTGACTTTGTTTCGAACTAGGGCCGGGCACACAATACCACTCTCAGAATGTGCATTTTGAATTTCGCGGAATTCGGAGGTCTCGTGGAATTAACGCGAATCACGCAAACTACGCAGGGCCATAACTTCCTTCGGAATGAATATGTTCTGAATTCGGAAGCAGCATTGTGTTCAGCTTGTCAAGGCGAATTTCCATATACAGCATGCCCTCGATGTTCCGTTTCCAGTCTTCTCAAATTCATCTAGGAGGTCGTTTCGCAAGCATGTAACGCAGCGCGTATCTAACATAAAATATACCCGTAAGCACTGTTCGATAGTACTCTTCTTGTAGATTATAGTGCGCTAGAAAGTGGCTGCAGGCTTCTTTCCAAAAGTGATAAAAGCGTTGGTGAATTCTGGAAAAAGCGTTTTCAAATTCTACTCGCCGCAACTTCCTTCGGAATAAAAATATTTTGAATCCGAAAACAGCGCTGTGCACAGTTCATCAAGGCGGCTTTGGTATTCCGATTTCAATACAATACCGCCCACAGAATGTGCAAAATTTCCGTAAATGTCGCAGAATTCCGAGAATTCCGCGAAGGTTCGCGAAATTCCGGGAATTTTGCGACACTCCCGAAATTTCGCGCCATTCCCGAAATTTCGCGAAGTTCATGTAAATCACGCAAATTACGCAGGGCCATAACTTCGTTCCGAATGAGTATATTCAAAATCCGAAAACAGCATTGTTTTCAGCTCGTCAAGGCGAATTTTTTGGTATACAGGTTGTCTCCAATATCCTCTTTTCAATAATCTTGAATCTGCATGCGGACGCCTTTTCGCGTGGGTGTAACGCAACAAGCATCACACATAGGAGATTGCGACGGGCACCCTTCGATAGTACTCTTTCAGTAGATTATTCTGCGCTAAACCGCAGCCGAAGACTCTCTTTTAAAAGAGATAGAAGAGCTGATAAACTCTGGAAAAATCAAGCTGTTCCAAGTTCTACTAGCCGTAACTTCCTTCAGAATGAACATCTTCGAAATCCGAAAACAGTATTGTGTTCAGCTCGTTAAGGCGAATTTTTAGGTATACAGCATGTCCTTGAAATTCCATTTCCAATTTTTTCAAAATTTCCTGCGCGCGTATATTCGCAAGGTCGCAACACAGCGCACATCAAACATAAAAGACTCCAATAAGCAACATTGGATTGTGCTGCTCCCGTAGATTACCGAGCGCTAAAATCGAACTGGAGAATCTTTTTCGAAAAAGATAGAAGAGCTGGTGAATTCTGGAAAAATCGTGTTGTGACAAATTTTGCCTACTGTAACCCTAAAATGGGAAGCTCTCCTGCTAAGCAGATGTGCTTTTCGTAATCAGCATTTCAGATAACCTCTATGAG